CGGCTGCTGCTGCTGCGACGGCTGCAGCCAAAGCCAAGGACATGGCTCCTGTTGGATCTTGAGAATAGATCACATTATGGTATGGAGCTTTTCGGGTCGTCCTTCTTATTGTACTTGGGACATGGGTGCCGGTAATAACGATGTTATCTCGTGATCTTTAGGATCATAGGAAGCCGGTGGAAGAGATGCTGGGAGTGGGTAGACAGTGAGACTGGTGATGATATCAGGTTTCAATCTTGAGACTCCAGTGGCAATGCGGTGTTGTTTCACAGTCTTGTTTCCCTCTGATAACGTCGGCTTTTTTAATTAGTAGTTTTCCCTTTTTGTCCCCATTTGATTTTTTGTACACAGTTTCAGAATCACTTCACTACAACCAACAAATTGAATAATAATCATATGCCGCATTCTATTATTTATACAAAGTTAATTTTTTTATTGATTGGGTTTTTATAAGATTAAATTTTGAAATCCTCAAATTATGTACCTTGATTCTGGTTTTGTTTTGTATAATTCATTAGTGAAAGTTTTTCAAATATATAGGTTTGAAAAAAAAAACGATAGATATATACGATCATTAATTGTCGTAGTATCAAATAAAATTGAGTATCTTTTGTTAATTTGATTTAGGAAAAATTCTATTAGGTATCTTTTGATAATTTGATTTAGAAAAAACTGTGTACTTTTCTTTCGTCCCAATTAATTGTCGCAATTTTAACTTTCTAAATCTTGTATCTATTATATCTAACAATAAAATACGTATATTCTTACAAAATTATCAAATAAAATCCTAAATATAAAAATTGACTTTTTAACGTTGATATGGCAACAATTTCATCCTAGTCATATAACACATCATCAATTATCTTCTATTTAATAATATTAAATAATAAAATAACAAAAATATATTATAAATTATACTAATATTAATAAAAATAAAATAAAATAATAACATTTTAGTTTATAAGTGAATTTTGGTTAAAATAAAAAAATTTGGTTATAAGTGATTTTTGTATCTATATTTCGTCATACGTGAGAACGAATCAAACTATATTCCAACATTTGTTGCAAAAATATATCTCGCTTTCCCCGCATTAAGTTATTTTTTTGTACTTTTGTATATATATATACACACACATATGCACATACACCAACTAAACCTTACCCTTTTGTCTTTTTGCACACAAATATCTCAAACGTTTTCATTTATTATCCTTTAGCCAAAATTTAATCTGCAATGCAATCAATGTACTTTATTTTTTGCAAAAAAAAAAAGAATAATTTTTTTTTTATCAACATTTCCTATCAAAAGAAAATCACTCTATAGAATTACAGGACTACTTGGATTAATATGAAATATGCCACATGATGTTACCAAAATTTTCACATGATATTCTCTTTTAGATAAACGGTTTTTAACTTATAGCTTTGAAACACATTTTAGAACCTTATTTTCTAATTCAAATTTGCGACCACTTGGTAAAAAAAATATTTATTTGACAATCCAACCAGAATTATTATTAATTTTTTAGAGAGCATAAATGGAGTATATAATCTCCAAATGCATTATTTTTCTTTGACAATTAAATACCTAATTTTAAAAAGTACTTGGATTTTATTTATATATTATTATTGGGATGTAACATTTATTTTGACACAAGTGTCTCCAAAATTTGAGTGGGATTTTATCCACAAAATCTATTTATGCTAAAAAATAACCAAATTAGGCATATTGTGAACAAAATAAGAACAAATATCGACTCTTAACAAAATTAGGATGACGATTTTTAGCAGAACCAGAGATACTTAAAATGCTTCTTAGGTAGGTATATTCCATTCTAAAAACAATATTCCAATGTACCACATGATTTTTATTTCTCAACGGTTACAACTTTACCCAACAATGTGGTACCCCATAAACAAATACACACCAATATCTTTTTATTTCTATTTTATTTTTCGGTCACATTATATGTATAATGTATTTGATTTTTATCTTTTTATTTCCATAAAAGATTGAATCATGTGGCGCTTCTGCTCCAAATTTGCTTTGCTGTAAACCGAACCCCACACTTCTGTAAAAAACCCACCATCCGATTTCTTCTCCAATTTCAGAATAAAAAGGGGCGTTTTTGGATATCAACCCTTAGAAAAACCACTCGGTTTCTATCTTCTTCCTCCATAAAACCACTGATGCCATAAGTTTTGGGCGAAATCCACAATACCCATTTGAGATTCCGGTCCGTGAACGCGAGATCTCCATCTGGGTTCACCCCCACGTTTCGCATCAATGGCGGAAACCAAGAGGTACATTTCGAGGGCTGAGCTCGGGAAGCACAATAGAGTCGGAGATCTCTGGATCTCGATTCAGGGGAAGGTCTACGACGTCACTCGCTGGGCCGTTGACGGACATCCTGGCGGCGAGCTTCCACTTCTCAACCTCGCCGGACAAGACGTTACCGACGCGTTCATCGCGTATCACCCAGGTACAGCTTGGCAACACCTGAACATGTTCTTCACTGGGTATTATCTCGAAGATTTCGCTGTTTCAGATGTGTCTAAGGATTACAGGAGGCTCGCGTCTGAGTTCTCGAAGATGGGTTTGTTCGAGAAGAAAGGCCATGGCGTCTTCGTCTTGCTTTGCTTGATCTCTGTTCTGTTTTCGCTGTCTGTCTATGGTGTTTTGTGCTCTGAGAGTGTTTGGGTTCACCTTCTTTGTGGTGGGGTGATGGGGTTTCTGTGGATTCAGAGTGGTTGGATTGGTCATGATTCTGGGCATTACCAAGTTATGGTGAACCGTAAGATGAATCGGTTCGTGCAGATCTTGACTGGTAATTGCCTCGCTGGTATCAGCATTGCTTGGTGGAAACTAAACCATAACACTCATCACATTGCTTGCAACAGTCTAGATTTCGACCCTGATCTCCAACACATGCCATTTTTCGCTGTATCTTCAAAGCTCTTTCATTCATTGAGATCTTATTTCTACGAGAGGAAGATGAACTTCGATACAGCTGCTCGGTTCTTGGTTAGCTACCAGCATTTGACGTTTTACCCGGTTATGTGTTTCGCAAGAATCAATCTGTTTGCTCAGTCTTTCTTGCTCTTGTTTTCCGGAAAGAAAGTGTCCGGCAGAGGACTCGAGTTTATCGGCCTTCTCGTGTTCTGGGTTTGGTACCCTTTGCTTGTTTCTTGTCTGCCCAATTGGGGAGAAAGGCTGATGTTCGTGGTGGCGAGTTTCTCCGTGACAGGGATCCAACATGTTCAGTTCTGTCTCAACCATTTCTCCTCGGATGTGTACGTTGGACCGCCTAATGGTAATGACTGGTTCGAGACGCAAACGAAAGGAACTCTCGACATAAAATGCTCTGAATGGATGGATTGGTTTCATGGGGGTTTGCAGTTTCAGATCGAGCACCACTTGTTCCCGAGGTTGCCTCGTTGCCAACTACGAAAAGTTTCGCCCTTTGTTCAAGAACTGTGCAAGAAGCATAATTTGCCTTACAACTGTGCATCTTTCTGGAAGGCTAATGTCATGACAGTGGACATTCTTAAATCCGCGGCTATGCAGGCGCGGGATTGGACCAAGCCGATTCCCAAGAACTTGGTGTGGGAGGCTGTTAATACTCATGGTTGAAGCCAAGTCCATGTGCTTTCAGGGTTTCTTGATAATTGTATGCAGAGATTGGATACAATTGGTTGAAGAGAAATTCAGTTCGGAGATGTGACTTTCTCGGAGGCTTCTATCGTTCATCATCCCTCGTTGTCCGGTAGAGGTTCCTCCGCCTATCATTTACTTTTTCGTGCTGTATCCTCTGTCTAAGACTCTTCAGTTCAGTCATTCTGGTTTATGCATTTTCATTCATGTATTGCTGTTATGCCTAGCAATATATCTTCATGTGTTTCTTTCCATCCTACACCTTGAGTTGAAATCTTTTGCATAAGAACAAGATCTTTGTCTTGTGATGGATGATGATGATGCACAAATATGGTTCTTACTGCTATCTGAATCAAACTAAACCGGATTGGTTCACATTGGTATTGTTTTGGTTTTAAAGTTCTGTTTGGTTATATAGCAGTCCAATTTGGTGCATTTTTATGAATTGGATTCGGTTTAGACCTCTTCGGTTTTGGTTTGGCTTGGTTTGAATCAAGGTAAAGACAGTTGCAAAACAAAATTGAAATTAATTTGGTTTGGTTCCATTTTACGTTCTAAATTGATTGGTTTTTCTCAGTTTTTGTTGTGCTTATCTTTTTTATTTTGGTAAACTCCGGTTTAAGAGAGTTGTAACCGAACTATTTATCTGATTCGGTACTGGTAAGGTTCGGTTTAGTCGACATCCGGCTCCCAAAGAAGAGAGCGAAATTGGTGAAGCATATGTGCATCACTCCCAAGTCCTAACAACGAGTATTTCTAATATCTATCATTTATAATTTTATCATGCATCCTTTTATGTCATATTATTCTTTATAATTTTTTTAATCATATAGACATATATGTTTTCTCGTTAAAGAATTTATAGTTATTCGTTCTGATTAAATTATTTTAGTGACGAATAAATGAATTAAGTTTTTTTAATTAGTCTAACTTTCTCCCTGGTTTTCCTTTTTTACCTATAAAATTTAACAGTTTTTCTTTAAAGATCACGTGTTATATATACCTAAATTTATCAATAATTTAAGAATTTTAATAAGTAATATTGGTTTTCAGTTTTAACAATCATCGATCTCTCGTAATAAAAAAGAATATTACATTTCTTTTTGGCAATGGTTTTTATTTTTGGGCATCGTAACAAATTTATGATCCGACAACTTAACTTAGTTTATATTAACATAATATACATATATATAATAGTTAAAGAAAATATTAATATTAATTATTCAGTAATTAGAGAACACAGATCCATATAAGTTGGATCTACACTACAATACAATGTAATGTATCTTTTTCTTGAACTTTTTCGTGTACAAAATACAAAGTCACAAACAAAAATACCCAAATATTAAAAAAAATATTGGTAATAATAATCTCGTAAATGTTTCGATCATCAAAAAAGTTTACAAATTTATATGTCGGGAAATGGAAATTTCGAAATTTTAGTAAAACCCTGTATATTGAAAAAAAAATGATTTTTTGAAAGAGTGAACAGTAAAAAATTCAAAAATCAGAAGGTCCAGTTCCAGATCTTGATCCTGAGATCAACCTTACACTTGGATTTATCAGTGGACGCCATTGAAGGACCTTTCCCTCTCGGAACACTTCCTTTGAACCCATCGCAAGAAACCCTAATCCCAACCTTCCTCGTCTTCAACTTCCCCATGCTGATCTCCACCTTCGTGTCCATCACAACCTTCAGATCCAAACCCGACCCGCCTTTCCTCTTCAGAACCGATCGGATACCCGAAACCTCCGTCACGTCGAGCTCACGCGCCTCCGTCGAGGTCACAACGATAGCCCGAAACGACGTCTGGTTCTTCTCCCCACTCGAGAACGCCGGAATCGTCCCGTTCCCGAGCAAATACTCACCTGGATCGGTGACGATTGTAACGGAGAAAGGGTTGTAATCGAAGGTGAAATGGGAATTAGGGTTTTGGGTGATTAGGGTTAGGTTGAAGAGAGAGGAGAGGTGGGAGACGGAGGAGTCGGAGCTGGTGGTCAGGTTGAGGCGGTGGATCCGGAGGGAAGGGACGGCGAACGACGGCGGAGATGGATGGTAGAGCACGTAGAGAGCGACGGCGGCTACGGAGATTATTAAGGCGGCGACGAGGAGGACGAGGAGAGACCAGAAGCAGCAGCAACAGCAGATGCGGCGGCCGCTCGGCGGTTTCCACCGGCGCCGCCTGTGTTGCTGGTTGCGGGAAAACGGTTGACGGTACGGATACTGACGTGGCGGCTGCAGATTGGATTTACCGGCAGAGACGGACGGCAGAGCTGCGGCGGTGGGAGCCGGAGGCTTGGGAGGCGGGAATTCCTTGTCGTCGGCCATGCGTCCTGTGTATTTGCCTCCGAGACGTGAATTTATTATCCACCTCTAGTTTTTTTATTTTTATTTTTTATTTTTTTTGGAAACTGTTAGATCTAAAAGTGAGTGTAAAAGCCATTATATATATAAGATTCGTGGGTTACATTATAATTATGTAATTTCATTTAATATCGGATTTTTGTGAGTACATGTTTTATGATTAGGGAGGGTTATAGCTTATAATGATTAGAGTCCATTATTAATACATAATTTGGATGTTATCTTTTTCGAATTGTGGCCACATCAAATTTACCAATCTTGTAGTTTATTTCAGAATTTCTATCTGTTTAAAATTTTTTAATGCCGAGATAAGTGCTCTTATTTTCATTTTAAATCATCATATTTCCATCAATCATTAAAAAATATGATTTTACAAGGTCCAAAACAAAATACACATACTATATATAAAAAAAAGGGAAATAAAAGTGCATCTCATTGGATTTATGTTTATTCTAATTGGGAAACAGGATGTCCATGGAAAATCATGTGGACGGTTGAGAAAATGAATAAAACATCGTTTGGATTTTAGTCACAAAAATATGGTCGGATAAGTATACAGGTGGAGGAAACTTACTGTAAAAAAAAACTAATTATACGTATTTTAATTTTGTTAAAAAAAAAATAGATGAGATATGAAATATCATTTTGTCGAGAAGATAATAATTATTTGTCTCATGTTTCTTAGTGAGCTTTCCTCTTTTCGGCTTTTGTTGGAAGACATGTGAAAGAGAGAGATGGATGACCTGTCGGTACAGTTCGTGGGGTCCATTTATTTTTTCTCTGTTCCAAGTAAAGAACCCTATTTCTAACATTTTTTTTGCCAATAAATATTTTTTCCCTATTTTTTGGCACTTTATAAATATCCCAACTATCAATCTATTATTCATAACCCTTTTTTATACGGTGGGAACTCGTTTTCCCAACTCTTCACATCGAATATCATTTGGCCTCCTGGATCAGACGGTATTTTAGACAGTAAATTCTCTAATTTCACGTAATAACTGACAAACCACACGGAGTAAATCAACCAATTGAGACTGATCGACTCAAAAATATTCAGATTTTATAAAGAATCGAACTCATAACCTCGTGTATAGTGGTTTATCGTTTTCCAATTGAGTTGAGATTTCCCTTTATTTATTCATAACCTTGTTAAGAAAAATAGTTAGGTTAGATTGATGAAAAAAAGGGTTAATTAAAGGGAGTATTTTCATGTACATATGGTTCGAATCATCACCATTTATAGATAACAGATTACAAGTTTTTATATTTTTCATTATTTTATTCTAGTTTCTAAATTTTTATTTCAACAATTATTTAATTGAATCACTGACATAATATATTAAAAATGTCATAATAATTTTATCGAGGATGACGTGATGCTATATGATTACGAAAGGATTATAAGAAAGAAGAAGAAGACGTTGCGTTAAAATGATGTTTTTTTTATAGATGAGATGTTAGAAATTAGATATTAAAATATATGATAAATTGATATATTAAATTATAGAATGAGGAATAATATGAGGTTAATAATTTTTTTAAATATATACGTATACAATTAAACAGAATAAATCCACCGACTAGGGGCTCTCTCCCAATATTTGGCGAGCATGAGATTCCTTGCTTCGAGATTTGTTCTATTAATATTTCGCAATTTAAAAAAAAAAACATCCAACTCAGATTTTAATTTCATTATATTTAATAATCTTTTAAAAATAATAAATCCCTCAACATTATTGTAGAAAATAAATTTAAAAACAAAAAGAGCAATCAAGTAGTAGAGACCGCATGAAAACGTAATCCGAATCAAATGATCTGATAATAAATCAAAATCATCCACCTGAACTTGCTTAATTCCCAAGTCATTTTTTGTGTTATTAGGTTATTATTTTATACAGTGTTTATAATAAAAAAAAATGTTTACATTTGACAAACACGTCCATGGCTTTAATTGTCTATTTAAAAAATGATTATTAGCAAATTATATATTTTTTTGTGAAAAAAAAAACTTGTATATTCATGGATCTGCTTGGATATTATGATTTTTTGGAAAAGAATTATTTTCAAGATGTATTTATATAGTTTGAACTGTATAACCATAATGGACATACGTTTCAATCAATTAAGAATATATGTCATGGAAAAATTAAAAAACAGAAAGAAGCGCAAGACTGAAATAACTTTTTTTCAGAACATGGCTTGTTTGGCAAAACACATATATATATATATATATATATACGCTCCACCTTTGGTGTGAGGGGCAAATCACAAATGACACGTGTCATCTCTACATTAAACGAAATTAGTAGGCCGTATCTCGCATGATTTTCGAGGTTTGTTTTTATGGTGCTCCATCTAGGTTTTCCAAAAAAAAAAAAAAAAAAAAAGGAAAATGCAAAATGTTGTTGGAAAAGTTCTGTATATATATATGAAGTCGTCATATAATTTTTTTTATTTCATATAAATACATTAGTTGTTTAAAAATCATTTATAAATATATATGTTTCAAATTTTCACCAAAAAAAATATAAATTCAATTAGTATTAATCTTTATTTCTCAAATATTTTAATTATTCTGATTAGGATCACATAACATTTTAAAATTTTATGTATTTTATCTAAAATTTGAAATAACTATATTTCAAAAAAAAATATTATATATATATTTGGGGTTTACTTCTAATGTTAAATGTTGATCACTTGTTATTTGATCAGGTTAGGTTCATTGCCATATGCGTCCTGTGGACGTCTAGAGTTTTTTTTAAACGGATTAAAATAATTGATGGACCATCTAATCGATTGTTTAATTTGATAAATCAGATATATAAGCCACTGTCTAATCCAGTTATTATGTTATAATTTAAAATTTTAATATAAACTATATAATATAAACTAATCCAGATATATAAGCCACGGGTAGAATATTTGAGAATTCCATATTCGAATCGTTCGATTCTAGGGTTTAGAATTCGCCATTAAAGTCTCTATGAGTTTTGGACATTCCGTACATGTTGCGAGAGTTGAGATCCAATTGGTTTTCTCATGAGCACCTTTTGGGCTAAAATGGGCCGACAAACGTCGCTTAATCATTTTTAAGGGTTTTTTTTTTGTCATTTTAAAATTTAATTTATCTTTTTCGTCGGTCAATTTTCATTTCCCTCCTTCAAGCCTTCGACGCGACAAACACTCGGAGCAGAGACCGATACGTCGGCGTCTGCCTCTGCCGTCAACCGGATTCTTCTCCGCAGAGTGAGAGTTTTCCGACGAAGGTATGGGTCTGTTTCAGTTTCTTCTACGGTGCGCATTTCATGAAATTAGGGTTCTCTGGAGATTGATTAGAGGCGTTAATCTCTCTAGCGCCAATACATTTTCATGAAAAGTGACTTATGGTATCCCTTTTGCACATTTCGAGCAAACCGGCGTGTTTGGTGTTTCGCTATCTAACTGAATTCGAGGAGAATTTTATGGGTTTTGGTTTCGTTCTTCTGTTGTAATTTTATCTTGAACATTTTTCGTCGACATTGCAGAAAATAGGGTTGCTTTATCTACCGTGTTGAATTCTAGTATGTCTGGTAAAGTGATGATATCTTCAATCACGGAAAATTTTGGATTTTAGTGAAACTTATTTCGATTTTTGGGCGGGAATGGTTCATGGTTGTTCATGCGTTATGGAGACTAAACAAACGTGAAACCTTTCCGCTTGATTCCACGATCACCATTCAGTTGTTTCCACAGTAAAAAGTTGAAATGATTTTCGGAGAGAACGTTTTTAGTTTTGGATTTTTCGATTTATTTCTTTTGAAAATGATGGATAAGAAGTGATTATTTAGCTGAACTATCCGCATTATATTGATAATGGCTTGCGATACTGCTATTGAGTTTGACGAGGATCTGAGGGAATAGAACGCAAATTTACGACGCAAGAAAGATGATTCGAGGTTACCTGTAAACAGTTCTTTTAATGGGGAGGATTTGCTTTGTCAGGCATCTATGATGCCATGCCAGTCTTGTTTATGTAGATTTCAATAACAGTACATTCGTGTTCCTCTGATTTGAGAGTGTCGGGGAGTTTTAGCAATTAACGATGTTAGTCTCCCATTTTATTTTCAGACAGAAGCCCCATTTTTTCAGTTCACTTTAAGTTTTGAGAGTAAAGAAGCAGCTTTGCTAAAGGAGATCGGATTGCATGAAGGCTAGATTTTCCACGAGTCATCGGTCGTATCTGACTCTTCGGACTCTTCTGGAAGAATTTTAGGGTTTTTCTGGGTTTGGTGGGGGGTAAATAGGGTCAATGAATTTGGGGGATTTGAACAAGGTGTGGGAAATCAAGACTTTGAAGAAACCTGGGGAAGATGAAGCAAGGAAGATTCTTGAAAAAGTAGCAAAGCAGGTTCAGCCAATCATGAGCAGACGAAAATGGCGGGTGAAACTTCTCTCTGAATTCTGGTAGTTGATGTTTTCTTCCCTTGTGTTTGCTGTTTCTACTTTGTTTTCATCTGTTTGATTACAGAGAAAGCTACAAACTGAGTTTGACTGTAATTTTATACCCTACACTAATCTTTTCATGGCGAGTGATTGTTTCCTATGGTTCAGAGGATTTACTTTAAATTTGATGGAAGATAATGCGTAATGCGTGTTTTTTTCATATCACTTTCTGCGTATTTGGTGATAATGGAAGATGTATAGATTTCAGGATCAAATCATTGTCCTCATATTGGATTTGCACTTGCAGCCCAAAAAATCCAGCACTTTTGGGGCTAAATGTAGGAGGGGGTGTGCACGTGAAGCTGAGGCTTCGGAGGCCAAACCGGGAGTGGGATTTCTTCTCTTTCAATGAAATTCTTGACACCATGCTCCATGAGCTTTGCCACAATATTCATGGTCCTCACAATGCGAGTTTCTACAAGCTTTGGGATGAACTTCGAAGGGTATTCATATCGATGCCTTTGTTCTATTTCTGCTTATATAATTTCCTGCATGTTCCCACTCTTCCATCCCGTGCTTTCATCCGGCAATGCTTTGTCTTGCTTGTTTTTATCTATTTACTTTAATGCTATCCAGGTGTAATATGGCTTTTCAAGAAAATTACTTATTTTTCGAGGTGCATATGACGTTTAAGCGATTCTATGACATCCAGGAATGCGAGGAGCTGATGACTAAGGGGATAATGGGAACCGGACTTGGGTTTGATCTTCCTGGGAGGCGTTTGGGTGGATTTTCTCGTCAGCCTCCCCTTTCATCTCTTCGAGCAACAGCTGCTGCAGCTGCGGAAAAAAGAGCATACTCTAGCACTCTACGGCCCTGCGGACCTCACCGTCTTGGTGGCGATAGCACCATCATGTTAGCACTTAGTCCAATACAAGCCGCCGCAATGGCAGCAGAAAGGCGTTTACTTGATGATCTCTGGTGCGGTTCTTATTCTGCAGAGATTTTAGCAGATGAAGAAAACTTTAATGACACTTATAAGGAGTGTGTCCCAGTAAGGGAAATTTCTACGGGCTTGAGCGAAAACTATGCAAGATCAGTGAAGAGAAGATATGGGTCGGATGCTCATTCATTTCCTTTGTCCTCCAAACACCAACAGGGATCTGAAGTATTTGATCTCACTCAGGATGGTTCTGAAATTAGATCTCCTACAAGAAGTTGCAAAGCCCAGAAGGCTTCATCATCTGTCGTTTCCGATTCAGCTCATAGTGCAGATGAATCTTCCATGTGGAAATGCACCACATGCACCTTACTAAACCCGGTAATAGTTCCATTACTAACTCTCATCGCACGGATTGTAAGTTTTTACAAAAGGGGTCAGCGCATAAACCCGGGATTCTTCTACATTTAGAATCTTTACGATATCTATTACCCGATGCTCAATTCATTGATCAATTCTCATGTTCTTGTGAGCAGCCATTGGCTCCAATATGCGAGTTGTGCAGCGCAGCAAGACCAAAGGAAAGGGCAATCAAGTACAAGATTTGGTCCTGTAAATTCTGTACGCTAGAAAACAATGCGAAGCTGGAGAAATGCGAGGCTTGTGGTCAGTGGAGATACTCATACGGGTCGCCGTTATCAACCCGAGCACCTAACCTTGGCACATGAAGGAGTTCATCTCTGTTTACTCCGCGATCGAAAGCTAATGAAATCTATTACCAATCACCATTTTCTTACCGACAAGATTCTCAAATCGTCGCTATGACTTCAGGTTGGTTTGGCTGACGATATAGAGCCCGAGTCTATTATGTGGAATCACTAGTTTGCTAAATTTGAACATGAAAGTATGTGCTTCATTACAGTCACTTGTGGTTTCATTTTTTCTTTGTCTTCTGATTGAATTCAGGTTTCGGGCCCGTCTCCGATCAGATCGAAGTCAGATAAGATAAGTGTTTATGTTTTGTGGATTTTGGATTAGAACTTAGAACACTATGAAAGCCTCGGAATGTAGAATTTTGTGGCAACTGTTCGTGCATTAAAAAAAATGCTTGTGAAATCAGCTGCTTGTTCATTAGGGTTTCGTCTATAACTTTGCTTGCAAGGAAAGCTAACGACCCAAAACCTAGAGTTGTTGTGTAGTTACCCGTTACTTTAGTTTAGTACATGGTTGATGAAGAGGAATTGCCAAAGTGTAGCACGGGAAAAAATAATCATAACTATTTTGGATATTTTAGTTCGGATACGTAAAATCGTATTATATGAGGTTTAAAAATCAATCGAATATAATATTTAATAAATTTTAAAAAATGTTTTTTTAAAATAAATATTTTTTCTAATGGTAACAGAAAATAAGCATCTAACCGAACCAACGGAGAGTACCAAACCAATGAACTCGATGGCATCGTTTAGGAGGCTAATGGAGCCTGATTTTATTTTATTTCTTTTTTTTAGATCGTTATTTAAACCTTATTACCGAATTTACAAATTATTAAAACTTTTTCTGAAGAAAAAAAATCGAATTATTTATTTAGCTCTTAAAAATATCTATCTCAGCTGCTCGGGCAAAGTTTTTCCTTTAAATTTGTGGGGTCAACCGACAAAACCCATCCAAGAACCATTATTGTCGCACCATTATTAATTTCCCTTATTAATTAAATGCGGAAAATACCCATGACTCATTATTATTTTGGGGGAAATTATTTAAATTGTCTAATGTTAGTGGCGCCGTTAGACTTTGAGCTTTATTTAATAACAAAATATTGTATGTGACTTTATAATAATACCATACAGAAAATAATGACCACATAATCTTTTTTTTTTCCGCCAAAAAATATAACCATACGTGAGAATTACATCTCCATCTTGGTTGACAGAACATTTCATTTTTTTAGAATTAGATATACATCCTGGGTTGCGAAAGAAGTTATAAAGAGAATATATAATAGGCAAAATCACATAATAATACACCAACTTATATAAAAGTTCAACATTAATGCACAGACTTTAAATTATCAAATAAATACATCAACTCATATATATACTCCTATAATAATTTTAAAGTTTGTGTATTAATGTGGGATTTTTATATAAGTTGATATTACGTGATTTTCCCTATATAATATGCATTTGCACATAACATTTTTTTATTTTTAATTTCAACAATATTTGGTAATATAATGAAATATAAATATATTACAACCACCCATGTTTCTAAGCCCACCAATATTTCACTAAATAAAAACAGAAAAAATATTGAAATGAAAATTTTATTTGATAGATTATCCCAATAATCAATAATATTATTAATATTAACCAAATCATTCTTAAATGAGAATAAAGCAATTCTTCAGCGTATAATTATATATATATATATATATATATTAAACTTGAATTAAATTCCAAAAAAAATACATGAATGGACAATATTTCATGTTATTATAAGTGATAATATCCTTTGGAAACGTTAAAAAATAATAATTTGAATAGCAAGTGTGTAGAACCTATTCACAAAGCCATGTCTACAACAAACATACAAAAAAAGAGAGAGAGAGAGAGAGAGAATAAGATATCCAAAATATAAATCTATAAACCCAAAATACAACTTTGTACTGAGCAATCATCTTATATTACATGAATCCGTATATACAAAGGTCAATAAATATTGAGAAATATGAAAAGTTTCAGTTTTTATTAAACTTTAGATATCAATATGTTTTCTATTTGGGGATCTCTCCCAGCTCTGTTGGTTTGAGAGTCCACTTCCTGAATAAGAGGTCGTGGGTTCAACACCCAGGGTATGGAGATTTCTCCTCCGACCACCTTCGGGTGCTTCACATCCCACACGTGTGGTGCCGGTTGTGCGTGTGGGTCGGGATTAGTCTGGGCCCTTTGGGCCTGAGATTACCCGGTTATCAAAAAAAAATAATATGTTTTCTATTTAGTTAAGAAACTTATTAATATTTAAACTCTATATAAACTGATATTCTTCATATTTTCTAATAAAATATGTTTCTAACCTGAATTCGACTATATTAGATGGACCATTTTTAATTAAATTAATTTTTAAATTTTATATCCCTTGTACGTAAAAAATAATGTAGAAAACACTTGGACTTCTCTTTGGTTTGAACCAAACATCAAATTTGTAAACTGCGCCTTAAAGTTGTTTTCATCTATCCCTAATTCAAACATTTGTTTTGTTTCTATATGATAAAAGAAAAAATTAATTATAACAATAAATTATCATATATATATATATATAAAGTATATTCCACTTCTCTCAATAGTGCACAAAGTACTCGCATGCCCCATCCACATTATTTTCATTAATAATCTGCAGAAATAATTGAATATTAATGAAAACAAACAATGAATGGACATAAATACAGTAAAACAATTAGGTGAGATACTAAAAAATAGCACACAAACATGATGGAAAACATGTAAAACAACATTATACATCCTACTACTATATAATCATAATATACAAAATTAGTTTTCTTTTTCTTTTTATTTTTTTAGATAAATTACAAGTTTAAAATTTTATTTTAACGAATGAAATTATTAACTTGAACAAAAAACATCTTTCAATTAAATTATCAATTATGTAGAACCACAAAAGTTCGTCATAAGGCATAAATACAATTTTGTATTCCTACATTTAAAAATGATACAGTTTTTCTGTTTAATTATGGTTATGACAAATATTAAAATTTTACAGATTTATTGTATTCAATTATACATTTCATTAAACTATTTTACTATTGCATACATAATACAATTGTTCCACGACATCACGAATCGTTACTTAAACTAATACCCATCAAACGCTATGTAATCTTCGGAAACCAAATTTCATTACAAAAATAAAATCGTCAAATAGTAAAACTAATGAAAATAATTGCATTAAATATGAAACAATCGAATAAAATAAATTTATTTTTGCAAGTTAAGTTTTTATAAAACATAACTCAAATACAACTAAAACCCAAATTACCAACCCACGACCATCTCATGATCTCATCTCAAGATCCAAAACAAACTATATTTAAAAAAAGGGTAAAACTCCTAAAAAACCTCTAACTTGCAAAAATATATACAAATAAATTTTCAACTTGAAAAACTGTCATTCAATCTCCAAACTTATAACTTGTCTCTGAATAAAACCTCGAACTTATAAATTATTGCTCTAATAAATCTTTGACCGGTTTGACCACAATTTCAAACGATCGGAAATCCACGTATTAACGGATTGTTGATGTCACCTTATACACGTTATCAATTTTAATTTAAAAATTAAAATCAGCAATCTGTCAATATATAGATTTCCGATCGTTTGAAATTGTGGTCAAACCGGTCAAAGGTTTATTAGAGTAATAATTTGCAAGTTCGAAGTTTTATTCAGTGACAAGTTACAAGTTCGGGGATTGAATGACAGTTTTTCAAGTTGAAGGTTTATTTGTATATATTTTTGTAAGTTAGAGGTTTTTTTTAGGCGTTTTATCTTTAAAAAAAATAATTATATTTTTTAAAAACTCGATGTGAATACCCGATTTTACCCTTCTTCCCCACATGTGCCCTTTTCTCCACACAAAACCATTCACTCACTCTCTTCCCCTCTCTCCACACCCATTCCTCTCCGTCTTCTTCTTCTCTGAGACAGAGCCGAAGAACCAAAAAAAAAAAGCGAAGAAGCCATGTTGGAAGATTCTCTGTTATCGGCGATGTACAGTTGGTTCACACCCACCGTCCTTTTCGTCTTTCTCAACCTCATGATCGGCACCATTGCCATCACTTCTTCCTTCTCTTCCAAATCCAATGATCCAAATCATCCCCAGATCCACCGTTCTCCCTCTGTTCTTCACCGTCTTAAGTCCATCAACTTCTCCTCCTTCGCTTCTCCCGACAAAACCCATCGAGGGTTTCAGACGGCGACACTCCCCGATGACGCCGACCTCCATTCCCATCCTCAGCCAGCTTCGATCGAACAGAACCAGACCCAGGCTTTCCTCTCCAGATCTCCTTCTGTTCTTAACCGAATCAAGTCCTTCAACCTCTACAACTACATTTCCCACGAACCCACCTCCTCTTTCTCCGTCTCTGACTCTCCGGCGCCGCCGCAGACCGACGAAACCCTAGATTCGAAAACGGCGGATGCTGAAGGAGAAGATGGAGCCGAACTGACCCTTGAGGAGGTCTACAGCAAGCTGAACGTGAGCCACGTGAAACACGTCGCTCGGACCAAGTCCGACACCGAGCCCGCCGCCGGAATCGTGCCTCCGAAGCTGCCGAAGAAGATGAAGAAATCAGCGAGTACGAAGTCGCCGTTCTCTCACTTCGAGGAAGACGAAATATCCGCTGTGGAGGCTCGCCGGCCGGCGACAGTGAGGGAAGGGAGGGTCACGGCGGATGAAGATGCCGCCGACGAGGAGGTGGACGCGAAGGCTGACGACTTCATCAATCGGTTCAAGCAACAGCTGAAGTTGCAGAGGATCGATTCCATTATGAGGTACAAGGAGACGGTGAAGAAAGCAAACCAGATGTGAAATAAATGAAAATTCCGGGTGGATTTTGTTAATTGTATGTTAATTTTGGGGCTATTTTCGCAAATTCTTAAATTTCTTAGGGCTTCTTTAATTTCTCTCTGAATCTCTTCTGCCGATCTCACTCACTGTAGATTTTTGCTCGGCTTTGTTGCTGCAACTGTTTCGCTTTCTTTCACTTTCCCGAGAAAAAAATAGAAGAAAAATTCCAGAATCGTCGATGTTCTACGGTGGGACAAGGGTATTCTGGTAATTTAGCCATGACCTCCAGAAGAATCTTCGGCGGTGTTCTCGTAGATCGGATCCCGCCGACCTCCATTAAAATGCACTCACGAATATGGCGCACTTCTTTAACTTCCGATAATACCCTTCGGTTTTTGTGTTGGCTGGGTCACTTTGGGTCTGCAGTACGTTGCCAGGTCTCTGGGAGCGTTTTGTCATTTCAAGTTTGTTTTATTAAATTACTGGTTTGCCCTTGGGTATCTCATGTGAACAGTCGTAACGAATGGGTATTATTGTAAATCAAGTCGTGACTTACGAGTGTTGCTTGGCTGTGAAGCACGTGGAAGTTTGAGTTTTCTCTCTTCTATTTTGTTCTCTTGTCTGTGCCTGTGGGGGTGATAATCATATGCCAGAAACTATTGCAAGTTCTACTAATCATTATAAATTTCAGTTAATTTACGTAATTAAGGACTAACATTTCAAGTTTGCCGTTTATATTATCTATATATGGGGTGATTTTGTATTGACCCAAATAGATTATAGTTGGATTTGTTTATTCTGTTGATGTGTTTTTAGCTTTGGGAAAATGATGTATGGTTTTTCGGAACAAAATAGTATCAATCGAAAAATGTGATATTTTTCTTGATCTGATCAGTTCAAAATTTACGAAACGGTATTATTTTAGAGAATCGAGTTTTCCAAAATCAATTCGAATCAAACCGAATTTTAAAATGATCCGAAAAATCGAAAAGTTCTTAAGAAAGATCTAAAATTTTATTAATAAAAACCGAAACCGGATCAGAATCAAAAACGGATCGGACCAAATATGATATAATAACCCATGACTACATATTTTTGTAAAAACGAAAGAATCAAATCATTTCCGAATCGAACTATTTTTGAACCGAACCCGAACCACCGAAACGTCCAGCACTAATTGTATCTATGCATGCATGGAATGATGAAAATGTTTGCACCAAGTTCTAGGTCGGTCTATCCACATGTACATGTTTATGTATATATGTATGAAAGTGCTTTTATGTGAAAATACATTGTCACAACAGATTTTGGATCTGATATTTAAATCCATAATTTTATTTTTCTAATTTATTTATTTTTGGAATCCTCTACATCCAATTCTAAAAATCGTAGAAATTATTATACATCCTAAACGCTTTTATAATCCATTCAAAAGAACTTTCACGAAAGAATTTTTAGTCTTTCATTTCATAAATATATTTGTCAAATTCTTTTAAATAATAATATTAATAATAATTTTATCGGTGCATTGAATAATAAAGTTGTGCTTTGGAACCCATCCATTGTTTAGTAAAACTTCCAAAAACAAATCTGAATGCCGACATACAAATTGATACAAAATAAAGAAGATGTGGATGGGAAAGTATTTAATTGCCTCTTTGTTTTCCAAAAATAATATCGATAACGAAATAAATAAATAAATAAATAAATAATAGTAATATCCAATCGCCTGGGTCTGGTCAACATATGAACTTTTATATCCACAGAAATACATAAGCGGAACTGTATATCATTGGAAAAATGCCATGTTTTTTTTTTCTGTTCATCTCTATTTCTTCAAAATATTTTTTATTATATTTTTATGAATCGATACAGCGGTATTTTGGTCCTATTTTTTTTATTTGGAATTATTATTCTGTTTTTGATTATGCACTTATAATTCCGACATTTTTATGAACGGTGCAATTACAATTAACAACAAAATTTCGTTATGGTTTTATAAAAAAAAAACAAAATTTCGTTATGGTTGTGCATTTTTAGAGCACAAAAATGGAAAATTTGTTTTTGCAGCATTTCTATTCATTCTTATAAAATATTTTCATTAAACAAGCAAAACATGCCATGACATACAATCTCCCATAAGAAAAATGAATTAAGGTGCGACCGTTTTTTGAATGTTAATCATGTGGAACATACCAATTTCATATATATTTCCCCACAGATACATCGAATTCGATAAAGTACCGAAACTTTACATATTTTTATTTATATTTTTTTGCACATATATTTATGTTATGTTTAAAATAATTATAAAAAAACTATATAAAATAGCACATTACTTTCTTTTTTGGAATAAATGCCTCATTTCATTTACTAACAACTATAAGACTCATCATTGTATATCTGCACTATTTTGGTGACACTTTTTACCCTGAATTTTATAAAAGTTTTTTTTTGAAAATTATGATATATATATATATATATATATATATATCAAAGTAGACTTAGAGATCAAGCCAAGATAAGAGGTGAACTAGTCGGCATGGTGGAGGGTCAACGTCATATATGGTGCAATTGCAAAATTCTTTTTTCCCTGTCTAGGAGAAGTGGGGTCTTTAAATATCAAACCTATATATATATATATATATACATATTCATCTGTCCAATTACAGTGTAACAAATCAAATAAATGTATTAGGCGTTTTCTAAAAACATATGATTCATGATTTGTACTTTTCCCTCTAACAATAATTAACATAACTGGTCACTCTCAACTTAACATAATCTTTAATTTAAATTTTAATATTTACTCACAAAAGTGGTTAAATATAGGCTTTTGGACTTTGGGGTATCCTCTCTAGTCTCTACGGCGCAAAGGCAGAGTGAGGACGAAATGTTTTTTTTTTCTCCTTTGTCGTTTTTTCCTTATTTATTTATTTCTTAATCTTTCTACTCATATACATATACATATACATATACATATACATATATAAGCACAAGACTGGCATTGAAAAGTCAGTTCAAATTAATATCTCATGTTTGGTGGGGGCAAGAGAAGAAAAAAAAAAGAAAAATGTAAAGGGTAAATGCGTAATTCCCCGGAGGAAATTAGGAATCTATTACAAAGGAAATATACATTTTTTATGTGTTCAATATTTGGTGGTTAATGACTTCAAGCCATTTGGTTTTTTTTTTTAATGTCACGGATTCATATCTATTACAAAGGAAATATACATTTTTTATGTGTTCAATATTTCCCACTAAGCTATATATATATATATACTATGTAAATGCTTTCTAGTTTACTATAAACAGGAGTTACCAAAAAATTCAATATATATATACATATAGTGTTGTTGGATTATGCATGATTTTTTAGAAACTCGAATGAATTATATATATTTTTCTTTGTTTAAACCGTAATTTTATATCATACCACTTGACAAAATGCGGTTCTATTGTCTATCCAATAAAGGGAAACCCTAAATAATTGTTCGTAAGATTTATTCACTTATATATCCTATAATTGGCATTTTTACGTAATTAAATAAACTATATAATTAAATGAGGAAACATATTTAGATTAGGCCATTCTTTTTATTTTTATTGCCTCGTCACGTAGATCCCGTTTTGCTTTGTTTTGTGGCCAGCTAGTTCAAAAGTGGAACTTATGCACATAGAATCTTGACATGATTTCTCTTGTCAATCGACACGGTTGCCATTCAGAATATTCATTTCTTCACATTTTCGATACAGTTTCATTTGGATTCACTATATATAATGTGAAGTGGATATCGGATTCTCACGGTTCTCTCCGACGCTCGTGTGTTCAAGAACCGAAACAAGACACAGCAGAGTTTTTACGAGTTCGGTTACCGAGTTTCCTCGGGCCTACGTCTCGGCCGGAACGGCGCCGGCGAATCCACTAGATCAGACGGAAAGAAGAACCGGCGGAGCACCACAACACGGTGTCTCGCCATAACATTTACAGAGAAGAGAAACACCCGAGAACCGAGAGATTCAAGACAACCTTACCGGAATCACTCACCCGTAACCTTGGCTCGCACCGCCGAAGCTCCACCGGCGAGATCGCCTCCGATGTCGCCTCCGATCTCTTTCTCTCTCAATTGTCTTCCTCTCTCAATCGCCTTCCTCTCTCGCCTCGAGCCACGCGCGCCCTTCCTCTTCCAAAACCCATTAGGGTTTCATTAACCTTTCTTTGAAACGCGGCGCATCAACATAGCGGGCCGTTTTTTTTCTTTCTTCGCCAATTTGGGCCGCTGGGCCGAGCGGGCCCAACAATCTCCACCTTGGTGGAGAAAGAAACGAGCAAAAACAATAATAACAAAAAAATAAACACTAGTGGTTCGCCGATTCCGGCACCGATCGACTTTCATCGATCCTTCGACTTTCGTCGGAATTTAAATGCAAACTTACCTGACTTACCTCACTTACCTGATGTCCCGGAGTTAGTCACTTGTCGCCCTCAATCTGATGAAGCTTCCGTCGATGACTCCTCATGGCCTCGTCGCCTTATTCCGCCACCGATCAGCTCATCTATACCTGAAACACTTGGTAAACGTGTTAGAACGTTCACCCCGATAAGACTCGAACCGTAGTCCTGTCCCGCGTTGCCCGACCGACAAACGCTACCCTCGGTTGTATGACTCCCTAGACCGTCTAACTAACCCTCCTAGTAAAGTCCAAGGCTATACCCGCTAGCTAACCCGAGGATTACACCCGACGTCTACCCGTCTCCTAAGTCTATCCCGACTTTTCCGAGACTAACCTGAGTCATACTACCGAAACCCGCTAGATACCTAGCCCGGATCCCCGTGAAGTCTATACTACCTATAGGTATACGACTTCTACCCTCGGACCCTAACCTGCCAACTAGA